AGTGTGGTCTACCAGGGAAGCTCAGGAGTGACTCACTACCCAGGGATTTTACTGGCACCTGGTCACATGGCACCTTCTCTCTGGCCATATCAGAACTCCAGATGCCAGCAGGAAAGCAGGGTTGGGCATCACAGCCTTTCAGCTCACATTGTTTACACCCAGCTTAGTCACGGGGAGCTGCTCCTCTCAGCTAGATGGCACAACTCCTGAAAGTCCAGGTTCTCAGATGCACCAAGAGCTAGCCTTGCAAGCAGGCCCTTCTAAGGATGGCAGTCTGAGGCCTTCCATGTGAGCTTTTCTCTGCACACTTGTTAAATAGATTTGAAACAGTAAATGCCAATGGGTAGAAGCATTTGGGGATGATAATAAGTAGATCAGGCAAGTTATCTGACAGCAGATAGTTACTATTATATAATGTACCAAGAGAGTAATTTGAGAGAAGCAAAAAATATAGTCTTTGTCCTCAGGGAACTTAGAGGCAGACTGGGCTGCTATAAAAACTTGAAAAATTAACCAACTTAATCAGGACATAATATTTTGGGACAGGTTTCCTTGTATCATGTCAGGTGCCCCTGATAGTGCTCTCAGGTCGGAATCAGTGAGGCCACCAGGAAGTCCAAAGAGAGAAGCGGCTTGGTGGAGGGTGAGCACAAAGCCCGGGCCCCCAGTGGCCAGACAGCCTGTGCTGGAGTTCTGGCTGCACTTGCCAGCTGTGTGACTTGGAGCAGATTGCTTTATTTTTCTGTGCCTTAGTTTCCTTGCCTRTACCATGGAAGAATTAATAGTATCTATCTTCATAACTATAGTGTTGTGGGAAGAAGATGAATGGATACATAAAATACTTGGAGTAATAAATGTTAACTTATCATCTACCATCAAGCACCTGCCACATGTCAGGCAGTATGTTAATTTATTTCCTTTAAGCCTTGCAACCACCTTATTAGTAAATATTAGTATCTCATTTTATAAATGAGGAAACAGGGGCTCGGCAAATTTGAGTTTGCTGCCCACTGAACTGCAGTCTGAACCTGAGTGATTGGGCAGATTTTCAAGTAGTGGATCCATGTTGGCTTTGAAAATTCCAGGAAGCRGGCAGTCCAGGTTTGGGGAACCGGTGAGCAGAACGTCCCAGGCAGAGACCAGTTTGTCTAATCAGGTCCTGGGAAGCAGTTCAGACTCCGATGGCAKGTGATGGACCCTGAAGGTGGGAAGGTGGCCACTAGACTCACACTACTACCAAGGAGGAGGAGCAGATGTCACTGCACAATGCCAGGTGGAGACCCAACAGGTATAGGAGGAAAAGTAAGAGGCTTTTGCTGCTTCCTCCTCCATCTGCCCTTGGCAGAGGTTTCAACTAAAATACACATTAAAATCAGTCAGATAGGAAGTCCTCTGTAGACAGTGAAATGCAGCACCGTTTCCTGCCAGCTAGCTGCCCTGCACCAGTTACTTTGTGCACAGACCTGGAGGGAAGTGGGGAGCTGTGCGTCCCTCCACAGTGTAGTCCAGCCCTCTACTCCTGGCTCCTCACCTTGGGCAGTGGGCTCTGTCTGAGGGAGGTGGGCTCACTCCCTTGCTTGCTGTATCTCACAGGGCCCGGACACAGCAGGCATTCAGAGCCACAGCAACTGCACCCCAGCCTTGTTTCTTAGGCAGTCCCCAGTGACACATGCTCGGCCAGGACCTACCACAGTTTTGCCCTAAAGACACCTTGCTCTTTGAGGCTCTTGGGCCTTAATGCTTGCTGGTTTCTCCACCCAAGAATGCCTTTCACTTATGCTTATGTTCTGTTTCCCCTACCCCCACCCAGTTCATCTGGTGAACAAAGTTCTGCTCATCCTTCCTGCCCCAGTGAAAATTGCCTGCTCTGTAAAGTCTCTTCCAGCTCCTTCAGGCAGTGCTATGGCTCTCCTCATGGGTGCCCTGTGTGCTGTTCACAGTCAGGTGCAGCACATTGTCTCTTCAAGATGCCACTGGCTTATTTGTCCTTGTGCCACCTCAGCTCATTATACAGTAGTGGAACTGGTGCGTTGTCAAGTTGAATCGGTGAGTTCTTTTTTTTGTTGTTGTCAGTGGTTATTGTTAAAAAAAAGTTGTTCGTATGAAATTGATTTGAGAAATCTGACTGCAAATATTTTATGGCATTATTGTCACTCATGTTGGTTAAGGAACATCGTGATTGCTGTAATCTGTTCATGGTGTAGGAAGAAAGATATTACATGCTAGGATTATCTTCGTAGAACGGTGCTGTCATGTTAATCTACCATACCAAAGGGCTCTCGTACCAAACTGGATGAAAGTTCTTTTGTTCATTAAGCCGTAAACAGTGTCAGTTGACCTTTCTGCATTTTTCTGACCATGAGTCTATTTTTTTAAATGTGAGTGCCATTATTAGATGGAGGTTCTTTACCCATCCTCGAGGCGTTTCACTTCTGACGTGGCAGTGGCACCCGCCAAGCTGGGCAGAGGGACAGTGATCACTGTTATTGGGGTCTTATGTCTGCTCTTCTGGCCCATCCTCCAAACATTCACCTTTCACTAGTACACTCATGTTCTTAGAAGTGGAAACTTTGGGCTGCTTTCCCTGTCTCAAGGGAGAGCTGAGAAGAGTGAAATCCGTTAGTGGGAGGTGAGGGTTTCTCCCACCACTGAGCAGGTTGCACACCAGCAGCTTGGGAGGCCAGAGCTCTGCAACTACTGCAAGGCCCTCATGTGGCGCCAAGCTGGTGCTGAGCACGTGGACTATGAATTCTGGAAGACAAGAGCTCTGGGGAAACCCTGGTGACTTCAGTGAGGTGTACTTATCTGATCTCACCTAAAACKTATGTAGGTTTATTTATTTCTATTGTCAGACAGGTTAGAGAGGCACTTCGTGTTCAGAGTTCTCATAGTCTATGCAACCTCCTATCCCAGGCCTGCCTGCATGGAGCCACGACTGTGCGGACAGCTGGCCAGTGCACCTTGGAAAAGGCTGCGTTGATCCATGGCTAGGCAGGACATCTTGAGTTATTATTAATTGCTTCCTAATATTGATACAAAAGATCAACATTCTACTGCATTTCATTTCTTCTCCTCCTTTTATAGTACATAATATCGCAGTACTTACCTGGTAATTGAAGAAGGCACTTTATATTATAATTTAGCCCTCTCACCCCTTCCGRATTCTAAGACTGGTAAGGAGAGGATTGTATCTTTTACTTCTTTGTATCCATCACCTCTAACCCAGGGCCCTATACTTCGTAAGAGCTCATAAGTTTTGCCAGTAATTGGGGATGATGATAGTGGCAGTGATCAAGATGAAGAAAGAACAAAAAGAAGCTCTGCCCTGTGACAGCAGACCCATGACAGAAATGTTGCACTGTTTACTCTGTAACAGGGCCTTAATCATTGCCTAGAAGAGAGATCAACAAACTACGGCCTATGGGCCAATCTAGACCTTGGCTTTGTTTGTACAGCCCTCCAACTGAAAGTTTTTTTTATATTTTTTAAAGGTAAAATAATAAGAAGAAAGGCTGTGAGACAGACACTACATATAATCTACAGAGTCCAAAATATTCACCCTGTAGCTCTTTACAGAAAGTCTGTGTAGACTTGGCTCAGAGCAGAGTCCCTCAGAACCATTTCTTTGCTTCAGTATTTTGCTGTCTATTGTGGACTCGGTGTGTGTTCTACAGCATGTGACAGGTTCTGAGGTTATGCCACAAGTGACTAATGCAGCAGGCAGATGACACTTGAGCTGATGTGTAGTCTGTTTAATGACGTGAAACAAATGATCGGAGGGCAAAGTCAGAGGGCTGCAGGTGCTTGCTCTTGTTTTCTGTGCTTGTCCYATGACAGGCCATCGTGAGCAGTGTGTGACTGGTCCTATCTGTGGCCCATTGCGCCTTTGCTGTGTGAGGGACAACTTGGTCCAGGCAGCAGGAGCCATTGCCCTTTGCCTGGAAGCCATGTTGGGTGCTGTAGACGATCCTGTGACAGACCGAAAACACTCTTCCACCCAGAGCCTTTGTTTGGGGCAGGAAAACAGCATAAGAGCAGTCCTTAAATCTGGAAAAAGAGCCATTTCTCTCTAAGATTTATATGGGCCTTATTTAAGGTTTGCAAAGAATTTCTCCCATGTTTTCTTATTTTAAAGCCCAAAAATCTCTCTCCCTCCCTCCCTACACCTCCCCTTTTACGTCTCTTTTTGTTCTTTTAAAATTTTAAACAGAATCCTAAGGTCCTCAAGGTGGGACCTGGAAGCCTACTAGGCAGGGGTGGGCCTAGCCAGGTCAGTGTCCATCAGAATGGGGTAGATGCTGATCCTCCCGAGAACTCTTAAAATGGCTGTTTTCAAATTTCCTTCAACTAGTTAATTTGTAATTTCCCTGAGGATCTCAGTAGATACTCTGTGTATAATTAGAATCTGTTTTTATCAGTTAAAAAAGAAAAAAAGAAAAAGGCACTCCCCTATGTCTCAGTCCACTGCACTGCAGTCTTTCATTCATTTAAATTGAAAACTGGTACATTGCCATCCTCTGGATACAGAGATGGCAGATGTTAAAGGAACCTTCATCCAAAAGTCAATTATGCCCTTCCCCTACCAAAACAGTTCAATTCTGGAGCCATGAAGTGAGGTGGGGTAAGAGGGGTGCAGTGTGGGCAGCTGAGGTTTCCCAGTGGAAGGTCAAGCTGAGCAGCATGGTCAACACAGCAATCAGCCCCAACAAGAGGAGTGGTGCATCCCCACCAGGAAGAGTGGCGGGCAGCAGGAATGAGGGGTGAGTGCCTGTAAGGGGTTGATCAAGGAAGAAATAGAGGAGGATAGGCAGGTTTCTCACTATAGAAGTGAAAGGGAAGAAGCCAGAATGAGGCCTGTAGTCATGGGACAGAAGGAAAGGTACTAGTGTGAACTCATAGTATCTTATTTCCACAGGCAGCATGGAAATGAATATGGTTGTGGGCATGTATGTATGTGTACATATGAAAATGCATGCATGTGTCTTTTAATTCTGTCCCCTGGGAGGGCCTGGATGCAGTGACACCCCAGTAGCAATAAGCAGATCTTGGTTTCTGAGTTTCAGTGTCAAGAAACCACCCTTCTTGCAGAAATGACTGGTTCTTAGGCTGGGGCAGGGAGAGCACAAAATGAGCCTGGAACTTTTGATTGTATCAGAAAGCAAGGAAGRACTCTAGGATAGGGACATGTCTAAAGTGTAAAAGGGTTTCTCCTGGCCCACTTGGAGACCACCGGAGCCAGAAGAAGTGACAGCAGAGTACAAAATATTTCATGAAATAAGACATCATGAGTCCATTGGAATATGAATAATTAATTAATTAAAAGTTTGAAATATATAATGTGAAAGCACCCTCCCCTCAATGCTTGTTAATTACAAAGGGGAAAAGATTAATTTTTGTGGTGGGATGCCCGGCAACTGCCACCTTGATCAGTGGGCATAGTGAGAGCACACCGCCTGATGGGCTGCCGTGAGGTTTCAGCAGCACTTGTGATGTCTGCCCAGCCTGACTCCTGTCACCAGGAAACGTCACACTCAAATTCAGAGACATCTTGCTGAATAACTGGCATATTATTATGTGTCAAAATCATGGACTCAAGAGACACTGAAGGAACTGTTCAAATGAAGGAGATTGAAGAGAAATGACAGGTAAATGCAACATGTGATTCTGAACTGGATCCTTTGAACAAAGGAGATTATTGAGTTGGTCAAAAATGAACCGGGATATAAGGAAAAGATGGGAGTCATGTATTGATATGCCTTTTCTGATTTTGATGGCTGTACTCTGGTTATATCAAAGAGTACATTCAATAGTCAAAGGTAATTCAGTGGTACATGCCTATAATCCCAGTGACTCAGGAGGCTAAGTCAGGAGGATCTCAAGTTCAAGACCAGCCTGGACTACTTAAGACTGTCTCAAAATTTAAAAAAGAAAGAAAGAAAAAGAAAAGGGGACCATGCTTGTATAATTTTATCAAAATGGATTCTACTGTTATGTATAACTAAAAAGAACCAATAAAACTTTTAAATAAAAAGAGAAGGGGGGAAAAAAAGGAATGGTAATACAGTGGTAATACACCCATGGGGTTGGTTCCCAGTACTGGGGGAAAAAATAGCCAGAAGTAAAGAAGCATCAGTTTGGCAACCTACTCCCTGATGGTTCAGGAAAAAGGGTTCTTTGTACTATACCTCCTTGCCGCATATAGTTGTTTCATAGTGAAATTTTTAAAAACCACAAAATACATTTCATACATTAGAATAAATGAATTTAAAATGATATATGAAGGGGAGGGCACGGAGCAACTGGAACTCTCATATGTGGCTAATGMAAATATGAAGTTATTCTGTCTGTATTATAAAGAGCCATATAATTATCCAAAGTTAAATGCCATCCTGTGACCCAGAAGCTCGACCTAGATTCTCTATGCCTAGAAGATCCTTTCTCCCCTATGCCTGGCAAAATCTTACCCTTTTCAAGATCTTAACTAAGTGACACTTACCCTGTGAAGCTCCCAATAATTTCTGTGCTCTAAAATAGTAGTAGTAAGAGTTTATAAAGCCTTTATATTTTACATGGCACCTTTGGAATCTGTGTTAGTCTTTGCATCCACTCTGAGTGGCCGATGTGAAAGTGGAAAAAGCAGGTCTCTCACCGTCAGGAGGTGAGAGTGAGAAAGCCTCAGTGAGCTACCTCACCAAGAGGGAAGGAGGCTGAGAGTTCAAGAGGCGGCCCAGGAACGCGCCTGCTGCGGACCGGGCTCCACGCTAGGCCCCTTCTCATTTCATCTTCGCCACATCCCTTTGAGGAGGGTGGCGTTTTCTCAGTTTTACAGATGAAGAAAACTCAGAGCGAGAGGATTGAAGCAAGGTCATGCAGTAGATAAATGGCAAGCTAGGACCAAGCCCTCTGTTGTCTCCAGGCCCTCTTCTAAATCTGTCTTTCTCTGCCGATGGCTTAAGGATCCAGCCTCCAGATGTGGGGTCTGTGGAACTGCTGGAGGAACCTGATGACCAAGGCAGTCTGCAAGGGCAGCAGGGCATCTGCTGAGCACCAGGGCCAAGGAAAAGGCTGCCCACACCTCTCCCCTGCCAGTCTGTCAAGACTCCTCCTGACCTTCCRCTGGTGTGCCAGCCGAGGGATCTGCTGCGAGTGCGCCAGCGCTGGAAGACCCTGCTGAGTCACTTGTGCAGATCACTCAGTGCACCCGCTTCTCAGCTCTGAGTCATGAATGGATTTCATCACTTCTTTTCCTCTGATGGCCTGCACCTTGCCGGTGGCCATGTGTGCTGGACGCGTATTACTTCAGAAGAAATTTTCTTTATCAAACCACTGCCATTTCTCCTTCCACAGTAATGACAGCAACTGCAACCACAGAACAGTAGCAGTAATAGCTCATACTGTGGCTGTTGGCTGTGCTAAGGAAGCATTTGCAAATAAACAAGGAATTCGACAGGAAAGATACCCTCACAGCCCCATTTTATAGATGGGAAAACAGGCTAGGAACTGTTAGCCATTTGTCATTTAGTAACTGTAAAAAAACCTGAAAATTCTGGTTGATACATGTCTTATTTTAAGCTAGTTTCAAAATTGGCTAATGTGTCAGGTTACTAAATTATCTTTAGCAGTATTTGAGGTAAATTGTTAAGTAGCAAATGTTAAATTTTATAATTATATTTATATACAAAATCAAATGTGGAATGTTTATTCTTAAATAGATTCGTCCTTGGAGCTGTTTGTGTGGTCTCTTTKCGTACTGCATCTTTTAGGCCTGTCCCTGCTGCCCTTGTCAGAAACTCCTTCTTTGCTGCCAGTGGTGCTGCGTCGCAGGCGTGTGCCACAGCTGGCTTGTCGGGTCTCACGTGGGCAACTTCAGGTTGCTTCCATTTCTTGACTAAGGCTGTTGTGAGCATGCATTTGCAGACCTTCATGTGGATACCTCTTTTCATTTCTTTGGGATGAATACCTAAGTGTGGGTTGCTCTGCCATGGTGGAGATGTTTCTTAAACTTAGTAAGAAATTGCCGCAAGTTTTTCAAAATAGTAACACTGTTTTACATACCTTCTAGCAATATGTGCTTACATACATTTCGGGTCCCCACTACGATCAGGGGCTGATTGTTTCCTAAGCTGTCCCAGTGAATGCTTGGGGGTTTCTCATTGTCCCACCTTTTCGTGTGTTATCGACCATTTGTATATTTTTTCCTGAAGCATCTATTCAAGTATCTTACCACTCGCCTCCCCTTTTTTTCTTTTTCTTCTTCTTGGTTCTTTTGTTTTGTTTTGGTTTGGTTTTGTAGTTGTGGGAATTGAACCCACGTGTGCTATACCACTGAACCACATCCCCGGTCTTGTTTAGTTTTTAAACTTTGAGTATCTCACTAAGTTGCTGGGGCTGGTCTCAAAGTTGCAACCCCCCTGCCTCAGCTTCCTGAGTCACTAGGATTAACAGACGTGCCCTATGTCTAGCAATATGTTACCCATTTCTTGTTGAATTATCTGTCCTTTTGTTGGTTTGTATAGGAGTTCTTTATCTATTGTATGTACAATTACTTGGTCAGATACGTGCTACAAATAATTTTTCCTGTTCTGTGGTTTGTCTCTTTATTTTCCTAATGATATCTTGGATGAATAGAAACATGATTTTGAGAAAGCCAGATTTTTGAAATTTTTGCTTTCTCTGCCCAGAGGTCACTAAAATATTCTTTTATGCTTTCTTCTAGAGTCTTTTTGACTTGGTGGTTTGTTTAGGTCTACTGTGTGTGTCAGATTAATTTTTTGATGGAGTGAAATGGGGTTGGAGTTTATTTATTCTTTATAAATATCTACTCATTCCATCAATGTTTGTTAAACAGACATTCTTTTCCTCGTTGAATTGACATAGTGTGGACTCCAGAGCTAGGTCCCTAAGGTCCTGTCCCAAACCAGCCGTGTGTTTTATGACCCTTATGAGTGTCCAGATTTCCTCAGGCCTCGGTTTCCTTCTTTATAAAAAGGTCATTACTACTAGTGCCTTCTTTCGATTGTTGTGGAATTGAATACATTTATCCATGTAAGTGCTTATTAGAAAAATGGCCAGTATATAATAAGCCCCCAGTAAACATTAGCTGGCATTAATAAGTCACCCTCACATGTTTCCATTGTTCCCTTACTTACAGCCTGCCTGGCAACATGGACTTTATCACAGACCCTCCTAGCACTCTGCCTGGGATTTTCACAGTGTCATATAAAGCTGTTACAAGGCCTGTTGTTTCATAACGGGGCCTGTTGTTTGATATGGCTGTGTCACTGTAGTAAAGCATAAGAAGTAAAATCGAGAATCAATAAATGGGATGGATTCAAACTAAAAAGCTTCTTCTCAGCAAAGGAAGCAAAGTTTTTCTCTCTCATTAGCCATTTACTGGTATTTGTAAAGCATCCATTTATTCAACGTATACTTACTGAACACTATCAGTTTTCCATTACTGTGACAAAATACTTAAGATAACCAACTTAACAGAAGAAAATGTCTATTTTGGCTCATGGTTTCAGAGGTATTGGTCACTTAGCCCTCTTGCGTTGGGCCTGGGGTGGCAAAGGCAGTCTGTTCACTTCATGGAAGCCTGGAAGTGAAGACAAACAGGAAGGGGCCAAGGTCCCAATATCCCCTTCAAGTGCATATCAGTGACCTGAGTACTTCCCACTAGGACTCACCTTTAAAGGTGCTTATGGGCTGGGGACTAGGCCTTCGGCACATAGGCCTTTGGGAAACCCTTATCTAGACCATCAGCAAGCACTGAATGCCAGGATCCAGGGCTAAGCAGCAAACGTGACTCATGAAGGCAAAGAGCTGCTCTCACAGACGACAGATAAAAGACAGGGCATGACAGACTCATCACTGCTGCGGAGGAAGCAAGCAGGTGCAGAGGAGTGGCAGGGTCCTTGGGTAGCAGGGAGAGCCTCTCTGAATAGGTGTAGCTACGCCCCCTGGGTGGAAAAGGAGACCCCTTGTAGGAAGAAGTTCAGGAAGGAAGTGCAGAGATGGTTCCACCTCGGAGGTATTAAAGACTTGTGCTTTTATAGTTAAACTAAGTATTACTTATATGTGGGTATATAATATGGGTCAAAATTATGTTTCTACTGTATGTATATGTACACACACTCACATATTCAGCAAGACTTTTGAATTAGTGTAAAACTAGTGGATTAGTGAACATCCGGCTTTGGGTTTGTTGAAGGTAGGGCCTTCACTGCCCATTCACTAAGTGTGGTGTCCATCGGGGGCATTTCAGACTGCAGCCTTCTACTGATGCTGTTCCCATGCTGTGGCTGGGGACACGGAGGGTGCACAGCCCCTGCCTGAGGCAGCAATGCCTATGCCTCTTTACAGGTGCCCTGTGGAGGTGTGTCCAGATAGCCGCTGGTCCGTGAGGCAGTGACTCTCTTCTGTTGTCAAAAAGAGTAGCATAGGTTTTACAGCAAACAATTGTTTATTTTTAGATCTAAGCTGGAACCTGAGCCAAGTACAAAGACAAGAGAATCCACATCCTCTGAGAAAGTTTCACAGAATCCTTCAAAAGACTCTGAAGAAACACTTGCCACTGAAGAGCATCCAGGTATGAGTTAAAGTTCAAGCCTTGCCCTGCATTCCTTCCTCACGGCGCTGGCCAGAGTGCAGAGGAGGACAGAAGCAGCAGCCCAGCCCCTGCCAGCTGCGTGTGTGGTTGCTTGAGCCAAGGCCGGCGGGAGGTGGCCGTGGTTTTGTCTGTCCACAGTTGGCTGAGAAGAGCCATCCAGTCACCTGGGAGCTGGGGTCCAGATGAAAGGGCCTGCTTGAGCTGTACACTGCCCGGGGATTGGGCTCTGCTGAAGGGCCGAGGGAGGCAGTGCTACCCTCCAGGCAAAACCCTATGCTCTCGGCACTGTCCTGCCAGTCCTGCCAGGGCGAGCGTGTGACCTCGGTGGCTTTCGTAGCCAGTCAAGCCAGCAGGACAAGGTGCAAGAGTGGGTTTATGTGCTGCCTGTCGCTGTGGATACCAGGTACCCCATGACTTTTTAGACTTTATATCCTATTGTCACAGACATCTTCATTCTGTGTGTACCCAATGCAGAGGACGCCTGTTAGTGCACGTAGCACAGAGGTTTCCACACTACGTGACTCACAGGCAGCGGGGCGCTGGGGCCAGGAGAAGCTGGGCACCTTTGCTTCCTCTGTTGTGGTCTGTCTTGGGGTGTGGGGCTCAGGCCCGMGTGCTCACAGGAGTGGTTGTCACCCTCACAGCAGCCCCCTGCAGGTACATTCCATGAGCCTCTCTTTTTTCAGAGAAACCCCCCTGAAAGGCTCACAAAGACTCACAAAACCTGGGGGACTTGTCCAGGATGGGTGACTTACAACTGGCAGCTGCAGAATTCATGCACAGTTCTGTTTTCTGAAAAGTCCTGTTACTCAGGCTGCCTCCTGTCTCTCCATCTCATTTATCCCTTGCTTCTCACAAGCAAGAGCCTTCACTACACACCGTGGCTTCCTAAGCCTGGCCCATGCCACAGTTCCTTTCTAAAGTTCAGAACAGCTTTCAGGAGGGACTGGCAAGGAGATGAGCATTTATGGAGCCCTCCACTGGTACCAGGCACATGCTGGGCATGTTAAAGACGTGATGTATACTGGGCCTTGTGAGGTGTTTGTTATTGTCAGCGCTTCAAATGTGAGGAAATGAGTTGAGTGAGATTACGTAACCCATGCACAGTCCAGCACCAAGAAGGACAGCACCGGCTTCAGCGTGGGCCATGCTGTTTGCAAACTTGAGCCCATTCCTAGTGACAGCTGCCCTGACTTCACAGGCAGGGGCTCGGTGTACCTCCTGTTCCTACCCACCCTACCATCACCCACGAAATCATGGGCTTCTCAGAAGATAATGTGTACATGCGTCATTACTAAATTTACTCAGTCCACACAGCATCCACATCTGCTCATTCATGCATGTATTCAGGAAATGCCGTGAGGGTAGATGAGAGTGGGAAAGCCAGTGCAGACTTGGGACTCCGAATCTCCTATGCAGAACTGGAGCCCATCTGCTCTGCTGGGCCCCAGGCCCAAGCTGTATCTTGTGCCAGGTGCCAATTCATTCATGGGTCTAAGGGCATGGGAGTGAGCAGTGTGGCTGTTAGGGATATGGCAAGGAGCAGAAAATCAGCACCTCTCCTTCAGCCCAGTGGGAAGCAGATGCTAGCTGCTGTCAGTTATGGTGCATGCTGTGGAAACAGGTGTGTGCCGTGGCTTGTCCCAGATGTGCAGACCTTGATATTTCAGTTAAGACCTGAGGAATTAAAACCCTGTGGCCCCTGGGAGGATTGTTGCAGGCAGTGGCCCAGGACACGAGTGTGTCTTGTGTGGCTGCTGAGCTCCCACCCAGGGCTGGAGATGGGGAGAGAGCAGAGAGGCATGGACTGGGAAGGTGCTGGGAACTTGGTCCTGGGGGCCTGTAGGCCACAGGGAGACTGTGCCTTTACTGAGTAAGACAGGAAGCTATGAGCAGATCTGCCCAGAGGACTGTCACACTTGACTATGTCTCAGCAGGATCCCTCTGGTCATCCTGTTGGAATGGAATGTTAGGAAGCAAGGACAGAAATGAGTGGCTGGGAGGCTTCTAGAGCCACCAGCAGCAAGGGAGGGGCGGACTGCACCAAGCACGGCAGCAGTGGTAGAATGCCAGATGTCTTCTGAAATAGAGTCACAGAATTTGCCTTCTGGGTGTGGGGCATGAGGAGGCACCAAAAGAGCCACTGTGTCTTAGGCACCTGGAAGGAAAGAGCTGCCCTTCACTGAGCTGTGGAGGACGATGGAAGAGCAAGCTTGATCAGGAACGTGGGTGGTACACGTGGATGTGAGATTCCTAGGGGAGATGTTGAGTAAGAAACTGGGTTCACAAGTCTAGAGGTCAGGGATGGGGTGTAGACAGTCTTGATTCCTTGAGACAGGCTGGATTCACAAGGAGTGAAGGTTAGTAGGAAGAGAAGGAAGGACTTCCTCCTTCTGGTACTTCCTGTCTGACTGTCTCTCCCCTCCTCCCMGTAGTCCTCTCTGTTTTCTTATTACCTGTCTTCCCTGCTAACCRGAAGTCCCACAAGTGCAGGAGTCTTGCTCATTCCTGTACCCCCAGTACTGGAGCCAGACTCAACCCACAGGAGGCTTCAGCAAATATGGCTTGGAAAACTGCACACATGCATGAGTCTCTGTCTGGAACCCAGTTGCTCTTCCTTACTATGGAGAGGAATCAGTTGCCTCTGCAGGGTAGGAAATAAGTGGTCAGAGTGAAAGAATGCTGCTCTTCATGGTTAAAGTCCATGTAGGCACGAGGCCATCTCCTGTCTAACRCAGCTCTCTTGGCCTTCAGGAGAGCACTGACTGGCATGTTGGAGACAGGGCATATGAAGAGTGCCCCTTTGAAGGTGTCTGGAGCCCAGCTCCAGCGCTGACAGCACTCGGATATCAGTTCGCCCATTTTTAAAATGGGGATGATAGTACCCACCTTTCAGGGATGTGGGGAGATTAGTGCTAGTCACTGGGGCTAAAAACTTTCATGCTTCAAAGGACCTCATCAAAAAAGTGAAGACAACCCACAGAATGGGAAGAAGTGTTTGCAAATTATATATCTGATAAGGTGCTTGTATCTAGAATATAGAAAGAACTCTTTACAACTCAGTACTACAAAAACAAACTAGTTAAAAATCAGCGAAAGATCTTAAGTTTCTTAAAAGAAACATCAGATGGCCAGTAAGCACATGAAGAGGTGCTGCGCATCCTTAGTAATCAGGAAAATGCAAATGACAGTCCCAGTAAAGAACCAGCTCACACCTGCTAGGACTATGGGAGAGTGCAAGAGCAGGTAGCATCAGATGTCCCCAAGGGTGCAGAGAAGCAGTGCTGGGCAGAAGACTGTGTTTTGTGGCAAAATTAGGCTTTGAATTGAAGCACAGTAAGAAGCCACTGGTGGGTTTGAAGCTAGAGCATGATGTGGTCTGGGTTAGGTCCTAAAAGCCCTGATACTGCTGTGAGGGGTTAGCACAGAGGCAGATAGATGGGCCAGGAATCTTGCAACAGCCCAGGCACAAGGTAGCGTAGGCCTTTGGGGAGGCCATGGTAGAGGGGTGAGAGAAGCACTTGCTGCATTTCGGAGCCTGAGTTTATCTGGTAAGTGGAACATGAGATGTGAAAGATGAGAACAGCTGGGGGTAAACAGCCTGCAGGCTTGGGGTTGGAGCAATAGGTAGATGGTGGACGGGGAGTGGTGGCCTTGCTGCCTGAGGTGAGCACAGCTAGAGGTGGGGTTTGGCACTAAAGCTCAGGAGAGTGGGAAGGAATCAATACAGTGGCCTGCAGGCCTTCTAAGATGCCCTTTGGATGTACAGAGTATGTGTTGGAGTGAGCAGGGAGAGCTTAGAGCTGGGGTTGGGGAGAGGGGTTCCTGAGAAATAGGCAGTTTGCAGCCATTCGCCTGGATGCATCCGAGAGAAAGAAGGGATGAGGAGAACCCAAAAGTAACGGGAGTTAACTGTGGGCTGGGCTAAAGCACAGAAGGCCTTGAACACTAGACCAAGCATCTGAACTCGACACCACTTTGGGTGCAGCATGCAGTGAGCTACAGGGTTCAGGACAAGGCTTCAGATGGCCATGGAATCAAAAGTGCTATAAAGACCTAGACTGCTTGGTTCAGACATGATCAAGGTTTATGTGTTTAAAAAAATTGAAATGGGCACCATAATGAAAACAGACAGGAGACAGCAAGCTCTTAGGGATGGAGTAGGATGGATGGAAAGTGCAACTCCCCTGCCCAAAGGATGTCATCTCAATGAAATGGTAGCTTGGTTTGTAAGGATGCGTTGAGCCAGGCCTTATAAATATATTTTTCCTGTGATGACAGTTGTGGTGAAAATGGTTTTCCTGCACTGTTGTGGTGGAAGTGGAGGATTTTTGTGAAGATTTCTTTCCAGTGACAACCACATCTTTCATGCCTGGTCTGCTATCTCCAGCCTGCTGCTGTCATGAGTCCTTTTCATGCCAGAAGACCCTGGACTTGTGCTCATCTCCTARGACTGAGATTAACTACAGGAAATTTACTGAGGTTGAGGAAGAAAGGGAAAAGAAATGGTATTGTCTTTTGAATTGATGGCAAGCTCAGAGGTACTGCTGAGATTCACACAGGCACCTTTGGAGGCAGAGACCTCGTTACAGTCCTCCTGGAGGAGTAGTCCCTGCCCTTTCGCTGCTGTCCTCAAGCCCTGGGTACAACCCATGCAGATCTCTCCAGCATTGTGCTGAGAGCAGGCCTTTCTAGGAGCCTGCCTTCTCAATAAACTTCATCAAGGAGCCGTCACTTGACCAACCATGATCAAAAAGTTCTCTAGATTAAACTCTGCACACCCTCCTGTTCAGCAGTTCCATGGCCAGGCACCCATCTTGCAGAAATACTCCACAGGGGCATACAGTATTAGACTAGTGAACACTGACCTAACTGAAGGTTTACCAGTGGAGTTACAGTGACCTAAACTGTATCGGATCAGGCACCTGTGCCTGTAACTCCAGCTACTCAGGAGGTTGAGGTAGGAGGATCTCAAGTAGGAGGCCAGCCTGGGCAATTTAGTGAGACCCTGTCTCAAAATAAAAAGGGATAGGGGTGTAGCTGAGTGGTAGATCATTTGCCTAGCATGTGAAATGCTCTGGATTCCATCTCCAGTACTGCAAAAACAAACAACAACCAAAACCAAACCAAAGAAAACCTTGTATCCTTACAATGAAATATTAAGCAGCAGTGTAAAGAATGAAGTCAAGCTATTTGAACTGATGCAAAATTATCTCCAAGGTAGATTGATAAATCTGAAAAGAAAGTTTGAGGACAGTATGTTATTGTTGATATCTGTGAAGAATGAGCCACTGCACTCACAAGACTGTATTATTTCTGGGTGTGGGAGATATACAAGGAATTGCATATCTATATGTGAATATGCTTAGATAAAGTCAAGGAGGCTACGCATCAAAGCAATGACTCTCAAGAAAAGGAATGAGATTGGGGAACAGAATTTCATATATATTTTTTATTTTCCCAGTGAAAGCATTCATATGTTRTAACCTTTTAAAAGCGGAGGGAGGATGTTAGCATGAGAGTGTGTTGTAAAATGAAATGTACTAAAAAAAAACTGGTTCTGAAGAATGTCCATTTAGTCTGCAGCCACTGTTGAATTCAGTGCAATATTGAAACTGTCCCCATCTGCCCCACCCTCACACATATACACATGCACACGTCCACACAATTTAAGGCCTAAATATTGCTGCATATTGACCAATGGATAGAGACAGAGCTGCAAAATAACATTCAGTCTCTTGTTTGTAACACATCTATATCCTGAGTGACACTATGCTAAAATAACTATTTGGCCTTCTGTTTTCATTTTTTTGTTGTTGTTGTTGTTATTTTGTTTTGTTTTTTTAACAGAAAAGAWTTTGACCGAAGAAGCACAACCTGAATTAGGAACCTGGGGAGATGGCAAAGGTGAAGATGAATTATCCCCAGAAGAAATACAAATGGTAATGCCATTCTCTGCCTCATTATTTATTTTTAATGAGTTATCCTAAGACCATTTCATTGAGTAGTAGCCATCTTAAATGCCCTTCCCTGATATTTGTACCAAAGTTTTAAAAATATAAATATATATTTTATGCATTCCCACTTGATTTCCTAATTCCTGATATGCTTTTCATGTGTTTTAAATTTGCAATAGCATAATTGAAAAAGAAATTGCCTTGGGATAACTTTACTAATAATAGATGTTTTTTCACCAGCATTAAAATCATCTTTAGATTAAATGGGTCTTTTGTAATTGCCACAATGGCACTTTGTAATTGTTGGAGTGACTGATGCTATGGTAATGAGGGGAAAGCTAAGTAGCACCTCATTGCTGAGATCACCTCCGTATGGTTACCATTTCCCTGTGGCTGGCTGCTCTCCTTTGTCATCTCTGGGTGGGTTTAGAAGAACACTAAGAGGTTGGGCCAGTGCTCTGCAGCTCATCCTCAGCACTGTCTGCCTGCGGCTCCTCCCCCTGTGCTACCAGCTGCTTCCTGGAGTTGCCCTGATGTCATAGTGTCCTTGTGCAGCTTGGAGAACACAGTTCCCACACAGCATCTCCAGTAGCAGGGCCTGCCAGTCAGAGCCCCTTCATGATTTCTGAGCTTTCTAGTGTCTATTTTCCTCTTAGTGCTCTTGATAGTGGCATGAAGAGGTGGTGGGGTGTCACCTTCTCCTCTTGCCTTTGGCAAAAATTCGGAAGGGTCTTCCCAAAGTGCCCTAACAAATAGGAAGTAAGTCTGGATTTCTAGCCTTTGTGCAGAGGATCAGTGCAGCCAAAGCCTATCCAGCGAGGACGGCCTGGCCTCCACCCAGCCTGGACCCCCACAGGTTGCTCCACCTGAAGGCCCTTTTCTCTCACTCCTGTCATGTCTGAGGTCTCCGAGGTTATCTCTTCAGAGAGCCTCCCTGACCAGCCTCCCTGGCCTGGCTCCCAGCCCCACCCCAGTGCTCTACTTTATTTCCCCTCCTCTCCACATGCAGGTGCCACGCAGGCAGCATCTTGGGAATCATTTGTTGGCAGATAAGTGACTCTATTGAGCACAGTGTAAAAGCCATGGTCTGTTCTAACAGGTAAAACAGGCTCCTCAGTAGTAACTACTGGCATGCTGTCTTCTCGTGTAAAGTGATTATTCATATCTGTGAATGCCCATCTGCCAGGCCTTTCACACATTGTCTCGTTCAGTCTTCACTATGATCAATGAAGTAGGAATGGCCACTATAATACAGATGAAGAAAAGGAGGTACGAGAGCTCCTGAGCCCTGCCCAGGGTCACGGGCCAGCAGAGCAGCAGAACCAAGCTCTGGGCCGTAAGTTTCACCTCCAAACCCAGCGCTCTCTGTACTGTGTCCCTGGTGGGTTCTGTGGCCTAGGTGTTTGGGGCCGCACATGGCTAGCACAGCAGAGTGCCGTGGGTGGCTGCCAGAGGAGTCCATACAGCCCCTGGGGCCCCCAACATGCTGAGACCCAGGGGATGGCCAGTCCGTGTCTGCCTCTTGAACACTTGGATATGGGACAGCTGAACCTCAGTTGTTTGGAGCACCTTTCATACAGGTGTGGACTGACACACTCTTATCCACCTCACCTGGGAAGAATGAAACTGATCCCAGTGGTCGCTAACAGTGACCTTCCCGGGGCTTGCCTGAGCTACTTTCTTTGCAGTTATACGCAGGCTGTTTTTGACCTGTACAGACAGAAATAATTGTGAGCTAAGAAAGTAGCCCAGACACCTTGAGGCCATGAGGCTCCCATCTTCCTCTCCAGCAACACTCGAGGTCCAGAGTCTACCCTCTGACTTTCTTTACATGCCTAACTCACCGCATCCAGTAGGACACATGCCCTGGAAGCCTTGTGGCATGCAAGGTGTAGAGGTGGCTAGAGACTACTGCAGCGAGGACTCACTGAGGCAGCGCATGCATCCAGGCTGGCATGGGGGCTCCAGGGAGCAGCACTGAAGGGAGAGAATGGAGACAGGCACCTTAGTGATTGTGGGGCACGAGAGAGGAAGGAGGAGCCTGAGCTTTCTCACATAGACAATCAGGAGAAAGGGGACACAGACAGTGGGCCAACAGGGAGATGATGGGTTCCACATCAGAAAAGTTCAGGCTGCCTGTGGACAGGGAGGGGGTGCTCTGGTGCACCGAGGGATCAGGGCACAGACTGTAGACATCTTAGGGCTAGAGTGTGAAGGGAGGATTGGAGGAGGTTCTCTAGAAACAGCATACATGGGAGAAAGGAGGAGGAGCCCCGGGTGTCGCCCTGGCACACTGCATTGGAGGCAGGCTGTGGTGAGGAGCTGGCATGGGGGTACGTTCCCTTCTTATAGATAAACGATGGGAAAGTTTCTTAAAATCTCGTAGTTTTTCATCGATTTACATAAAATGATTTAATTAGTGGAAATGATRAGATGTGTTCCTCCAGACATCATGCTTTTACCACATCCCTTTCCTGGAGACAAAGGTGTGCAGCCCTGGCTCTTCATTAAGAAAGAACACATTGTTTGGGTGGCTGTAAGTTCTGGGCTGGACTGTCTTTGCACACACCGCTGTTCTTCGTGAAGGAAAGAGCCAGCTGCACATAGCTGGCTGTGAAAGGACTTTGCGTTGGCCCCATAGGCAGCAGTGAGCAGCATGGGTGGGAAAGCCCCCGGGGGTGTGCTGCGTCTGGCAGTGTGGAAGGATACAAGGAAGGCTGGCATCGAGGCCATCTGCCCTCACCTGATGCCACAGTCCCACAGAGACAAGAGAACATGGGCTCTGATGACAAGGGTCTGTTAGGAATTCCCCCCGTCACTTGCAATCTTGTAATCTGGGGAAGAAAATCAGCCTTCAGCCCAATCAGAGTGGATACCCCATAGCATCGTGGCAAGTGCAGGGTGCAGTGGCACCTGGAGGAGCCTGTGGCAGGAGCGGGCACTGAGCCTCGGCTCAGCACACCTGCCTCACATCAGATACACGTGGGAAGGCAGAGGCATGTTACTCAGGCTCCGCGTGTGCCGTACACCCAGGGCAGCACGGCCCTTCCTCCCTTGTGACTGGGAGTTCCTCCTTCCACTCCTTCCTGTCCTGAGTCATCAACTAAACACGTGGTCTGGGACCCTTCCCACTAGCCCTGAGTATTTCAGTGTGGTGGCATCAGTGACTAAAGCCACCAGGACTTGGTAATGTTTGTGTCACTATGAGTGGATAGGCAGTGCTCCTGAGATAGGCTAAGGTCTAGGTAACGTCTGTCTCATTGGGACTCGTAGCTAAGTACCATTTTTTACAGTGTGACTAACTCAAATCCTATCAAAAAAACTTAACTCTGAAAATGAAGAGAAAGCCATACCTTACTGTTGGTTTCTAAATTGGAAAGTGGTGCAGCAAACTGGTCATAATTCATAGTCACTCTTTCAGAGTTTTTCCTCAGGGTGAAAGAATGAATTAAACCTGATACTATATTAAAATAATTCATTATTTCACTCAGAGGAGCAGTGGTTACATGTTGCAGAATGGTTTGTATGATTTGCACTGTGCATTTTCATTTCTGCCTCTTGATACAGGTATACAAGAGCTTGTTAGTTAGCAGGTGTTCTGTGGTCAGGCTGAGTGGAACCAAATTGTTTTCTAATGTTATATCAAGAAGTCCTCCTTCTTGTCATTTAACTCAAGCAAAACCACCTACATTTATTGATATATTTCTTGGGAATGTTTAAGACAAGTGACCTCTGTCTCTTGGATCTACATGAGAAGTGTCCCTAGTGAGTGTTGCCTGTGTTGTCCCATGAAACCCCAGGCAGCCAGCTGGCAGGGCTTGCCATGCATGGCCAGGCTCYGTTCATGCATCAGGGACATAGGAGTTGTACAGCTCACAGACCCCAGGCTGGCTCCAGGCTCAGAGGGGCACCAAGTGAGCATTAAGGAGAGGGTTGCAGAGTGGGACATGTTGAAGGGCTTGTCATAGAGAAACATCCTGGCCGTGAGCCTCTGAGCTGAGGGGCCAGACAGCCATCTAGGAGGCCCAGCGTCCTCACTTGGCTACTCTTGCTCTTTTCCATGCAGATTCTTCTCAAGCCTCATTTTATACCCAAAGCCTTTGAAGAAGAGATTTATCTTTTTAAAACTATAGTGACAAGGATTAGATTAGAAAAGGATTTSTATAATGATATATCCACAGTGTGGAGCTGTGGATTTGAAGCCAGATTAGAACCCCTTCAGCAGAGCCCTGCTGAGAGGGCTGCCCGACCCTGAGCGAAACGCAGTGGCTGTCACAGTGCCAGGTGCTGCTGTGTGCACATGGTCCAGGTGAATTTATGCAGCCACATGAGAGAGGGGGTGTTGCTAGCCCTGTCTTACAGAGAGCCTAGGCCATCTGCGCAAGGTCGCCTAGCTCCCTAGACCCTGAAGCGGAATGCTGCCTCACTACTTAGAAGGCAGAGGTGGGAAGGGGGTCTGGCTGGAGGAAAGCACGTTTGACTAGGAGACCTGACAGTTGGAGCAGGCGGGCCCTGGCAGGAGCCAGAACAGCAGCTGCCACTGTCTCCTGCTGGAGGGCCTTACTTGTCCCCACAACCCATTTAGGCCTCTCGTGCTTCTTTTAWTTACTTTCGTACTGATGTAAGTGTTCCTGAGACTGTAGCCAAATTCGTCTTCTGGGGCATATACACAGCCTGCCTGTGGTGCTGACTGGGCCTTTCATTCAGCACTGCACTGGCGAAGTCCCCACTTGTGTGGAGAGAGGACGTGGCCACATGGTCAGAGAGGGACAGTAGAAGAGGGTATATGTGTGCGTGTTTCCCAGTGCCTGAGTGAAAGGGCCATAGCAGCCTCTAGAACTTGAGACCAGACAGGTGGAGGGGCTTTGAAGTGTCTAGCCCYTCACCATGCACGTCTAGAATCTGCCTCCCGTGGTCACGCTTCCTGAGAGCTTACGGTGTGCCATGCACTGTGGTAAACTACTCACTTTGGTTTAACTCGGGTTCCTCCTGATGGCCCTGCTGCTCAAGTACCACCATTCTCTCCATTTTGACAAAGACTGAGGTTCAGAGGAGATTCAGTTACCTGTCCAGGGTCATATAGCTTGGAAGGTGAAGGAGCTGGAATTCCACAGCTATTGACCCTGGACAAGTAACAGGAGCAGGCAGGGGAGTGTAACACTCACCACCTGTCCACAAAGAAGCTGGTAGGCACCCAGAAGCCAGTGGCTGGCCCAGGGTCACCTAAGCGTTCCCATGAGACCGTAGGACTGGCTTCCACATCCACCGGGCCCCTGCCCCCAGCTGGAGGTGAGTCATCCAGGTGTGCCATGCAGATAGCACGGAAAACTACCCTGAAGCCTGTGTGGAGGACTGGTGTAATAGCACCTGGCTCTTACCTGGCCTGAGCCTGCCCACCTGGTAATGATGACCTTATACCTGTTTATGAGGATCAGGCTTTTTAAAAGCTTCTTTCATTGTGACCTGCTCTCTGAATGGAGCTGCTTTCCACCAAAGATCCTGGTCTTCGGCAGACCTCCCTTCAGCCCATGTCACCTCAGAGGCATCTGTTCCTCTTGCTCAGGTAGCATCGAGAACCCTTGGGGTCACAGGAAGTGAGAGCCAGAATGTGCTCCCAGGCCTGGCCGGGCTGAGGCTGCTGTGAAGCTTTCAGCAGTGGCCGCTTCTGAGGGCTTTGGGAAGGGCGGCCTGTGCCACATGCTCTGGGCTTGGGGGGAAACAAACAGGCTTTGTTCCCAGGGAACATTCCAGTAATAAATCACCTCAGACCACTAGTTAATTGTGTTAAGGAACAGTTTCAAAGCATAAAAGGACTGTGGATTTAAAAGGGCAGAGCCATATTTTATCATTAGAAAATTTCAAAGAAAATGCTTTCCCCCCCAAATCCTGAGTGACACCTGAGAGAATTAAGTCAAAGTAAATAAGCGCCTGCAAGCTGAAGTAATTACATGTTTTCCTTAAATACTGGACTCTCAAGTCACTGCTGAGTTGACAGTTAACAGAGCTCATACTTTCAAAGTCAGAAGTGAAATTTTTACTCTCTGATGCCTAATTAAAAGGGACCTAAATAGCACCTACCAACAGCCAGTAAGGCGGCCTGCTGTGGTGAGGTGGCCCTGCAGGGAACTGCCCCACACTTCGACCCTTCCAAAAGCATTGCCAACCCACCCATTTCCTGACCTGGCAGGTCAGAGGTGGAGCAGGGGCCTCCCTGTGTTTCACTGAGGAGCAGGACTAAGAGGCCCAGCACAGGGCTCAGGCTTTAGGCTCCAGAGGAGAAAGACAGCCCTCCTGGCCCCAGACAGCACAGAGGAACTGCAGGGAAAGAGGCTCGGCCAGCCATGAGGTGTTGGACCACAGAAGAGGTACCTGTGTGAGGTTTTGAAGGACCATTTGGGGCTCCCTGGCCACACAGAACTACCCCATACAGAGAAAGGGAGGAGATGTGATGTGTCACTCGTGCCCCGCGCAAACTGCAATACAGAGGTGGGCAGTGGCCAGATCATGGAGAACAGTGAGACCTACCCTTTAAGGTGGAGGGACAGGGCCAGCCGGGAGCAGTTTGCTGTGAATGGCATTTGACCAGGGAGTAGAAGGCAGATGGGAGCAGGCTGCAGACAGCTCACCAGGCTAGCCATGAACCAGGTCCTGGTGGATTCTGGAGCTTGGGAGACTGAGGGCCTCACCTCCAAGTGTGCCCTGCCATCCTGCTCAGTGCCAGGCACAGAGCCCCAGAATCTAACATTTGTGGATCTGGTGGCAGCTTTAATAATGTATAAGAAGGAACAACTGGAATGCTTTTTCAWAGGTAGGTTCACATGCTTCCTGCCCTCCGTTAGGTCATAGTCCCTGGGGAGCTTCAGACATGCCCAAAATTGTGCAGCTTCTCCTACAAGGCAGAACATAATCAGTGTCCTATGGTATTTGCAAACAAATGCTCCGCCAAGGATAGAAAAATGAGAAATGACTTGGAGTCAGGACAGATCTCCTGGAGAAGTGGGCCCAGGGACCCATGGCTCAGCCTCCAAGAACCCGACAGCGCACTCTGTGGTACCCCTCACATGTTCACCTCCTTTCCTTTGGCCAATTACAAGTTTTCAAGAATGACCAGGAGAAAAGCTGCTAGTTCTGCTGAGTTAACTCTGCTTTGAGAGGTACTCCCACACAGTGTCCCTGGGTATCCCTGTGACCCTCCCCTTCCAGCCTGAGCCCTGGGACATATGGCTCTTCGGGCTCATGGGCCTCTGCTCTGTTGAGCATAGCCAAAAGTCAGATGGCCCAGGTCAGCCTCTGCCCCATGCTTCTCCCCTCCTTCCCCAATCCTCCCCACTCCAGATCTGAGACAGGCAGCAGGCTGTGGGTACCCAGGTTTGGGGTGGTTGTGGAGCCTGGGAAGCTGGAAATGGGTATGGTTACAGGCCAGCCCACGAGTGCCTGTGCAGTCTGAAATGCCAGCTGTGTACTTGGAGTTCAGATGATGGGATGGAGATGCTGAGCCACAACCCACACCGCAGCTCTTTCGGGTGTGTGTCACTTGCTTCCCAAAGCAGGGGTGTTTTTCACACTGGTGCTCACAGTCCTCTGGCAGCCTAGTGTGGCGCCATGCTGGGAGGAGGGACTGGGCAGGGAGGAGGGACTGGGCAGGGAGGAGGCAGCACAGGTTGCAGTCACCTCAGCTCGGCAGGATGTCATCATGAGTGCGTTTGTCTCCTCACAGTTTGAACAAGAAAATCAGCGGTTAATTGGGGAAATGAACAACTTATTTGATGAAGTAAGGTATGTATATGGTTCTTGTGGGAGCCGAGGGTCTGTGTGCCACCTTTCCAAGAACTTGGAAGTTTATTTGTTTTGGTGCCCAGGCTTCCACATTGGCCCTGGAGCTGCTTACATGTAGTCTACCTGACAATGGTGTCAGGGTCTTGGGCCTGTGGGAGGTGACTGACTGCCTCTGCCACCAGGCTCCCAGATGGCTACCCCATCCAAAGAGGAGCAGATAGTGGCTGCAGGTCACCCTGAATGCATGACACCAGCTGCAGCATAAGGCTGTTTACATGCAGTCATTCTAAAATGACATGAGGCCCCTGAAGGACCTCTCTCTCGCAGAGGTCTGTCTCCTAGTGGCCAAGCACACTCCCTCCTTGGCCCTTCAGTGAGAGCACCCAGGCCTCAGTTGCCATGGGCATGTGTAGAGAGTGCAGAACAGTGAAGCCTGAGTCTGCGTGGCCTGGTTGCCTTGTGGGCACACCCTCAAAATAGAGCCCTCGGGTGGGACCCACACTAGGTGCAGACTTCCTCAGTGCAAGGTGTTGGCCCCCAGGGCCTGCCTCGGCCCAGCGTCGAACTTCATCCCAGCCCTGGCCCCACCTCCTGATTCTTCTCCCAATCTAACACCTGCTTCCCTGGACTGGAGGGAGGCGCGGCTCCCTCTAGACACACATAGGCACCAGTGCTGCTGCAGAACAGGGAAGGGGCTCACAGATGGCTSGAGTCTAGCACTTACTTGCCAAACCCAGGTAGGATGTTTTCAAAGCGAGTTGGAGTTTTTTTCCTACAAGAGGGAGCTGGCTTGAGTGGGAAACACCTTTTTTAAGTTGGGTCCTCGAAACGTTCTGACGTGAGTCCACAGCACATGTGACTAGGTGGCCAAGCCAGACACCAGGCTTACCAGAGACTTTGTGTTTTGTGTCTAGGGCATAACTCCACACTCCCCAGTCCCCAAGAACTAGCCCAGAATGTAGGGGGCACTTCACATGCCCACCTTCAGGACTGAGGGACAGTTTACACAGTTGAGTCCAGTGTACTGGACCAAATGCCATCTCCTCTTCCCCACTTGACAAGGCCTGTCCTTTTCTTTCTTTCACCTAGCAAAGATGGTTTCTTTAGAAATGTATGAAATTACCAATTGCTGAGAGTTCATATGTAACCTATGGATTCTTATTTCTATGAAGGCAAATCGAAGGGAGAGTGGTTGAAATCTCCAGACTCCAAGAGATATTCACGGAAAAGGTTTTGCAACAGGTAAACAAAAACAGAACACAGCAGTTCTCAGTTTTAGCTTAGAAAAGAAATGCACTGAGCCCTGGGAGCACCTCCTGCAGGTATCCGAGCCCGGCAGCTGTTACAGCATTGGCTGCTGTAAGCCATGGGCACCCAGAGCTCTTTGAGTAAAATCCTGGTGGCCCCACAGCAGCCTCTCAGGACCAAGTGACTGTCTCCTGGAGCACATGGTACATGGGAGAAGGCAGGCCAGACCTAGTTGTCAGACAACTCTTGGCTGTAGCTGCCCTGGGGTGAGCTGGGGAGCTCCCCTGCACTGCAATTCCCTGTCCATCAAGTGAGGTGACCTGCAGGGTTGCCATAAGTTTCAGAGGCACCCACACAGTGCCTGATAGGGCCTAGATTTTCTGTCACCAGTGTTATAGGAGCTCAGACATGGCCCTCTCAAAATGCCGGGCCCACACCCTCAGGAGTATTCTTGTGGGAATAGGATTGTTTTCTTACAGGAAGTTTCATGCCATATCTACCATTCTAAACTTTTTCTAGCCAGTTACTGGCAAAATTTTTAAAGTCCAATGAATTTGCCCTTTTGGGTTTTAGCACCCACAGACTATGGGTTTGAAAGACAAAATCTGTTTGCTCTGGCGTGTTAGACTGGGCTAACACAGCCAGTCAGATCATTATGAARGAGGTAAACTGGATCTAATCCCACTTTGGAAATCCAGGGTCACAGGAGTTGCCCTTTGAGTAGCTCCTTACAGGGTCTGCTCGGTCTGTGTGCCGTGCCGGGATGGAAGCCTCCCTCTGCAGTGACCTCACTTCCATGGCCATCACTTCAGCTTCGCAGAGCGCACCAGCCCGTTCCTGGAAGAGCTTGCCCAGCTTGCCACCCATGTGTGGCAGGGACTGTTTCTCCCAGGTCCTGTCCTTGCCTGTAAGATGGGGCTGATGTCACTTGCCTCACTCAAGTGCCTGACACACCTGGTCCATCACAGGCTCTTAGAAAGTAGTGACTGACATTATTTCCAGAGTTAGCCACCACAAATCTGGGTTGTGTCCTATTTTCTGGGCATGGCTGTTAGCCACTGGCAAAGGGAATATTCCTGGAGTGTGTCTTAGGCACAGTGGAAGGCAATGAGGTTGGCCCGGATGCAGAAGAGGTGAGGTCTGTGCTCCTTCTCAGGCTCCTGTACTCAGCCCAGATACTGAGGAGCCCCCTTGCTGGGAATGCAGTGACCCTCCCTTATCAGTGGCTGCCTCAGAGCTCTGAGCCAGATGGGTTGCTCTTAACAAGAGGAGAGCTGCTGTCCTGCTTCCCCCAGCTCCTGTGCTCTGCCTGGGGAGGTAGCAGATGGAGCTCCAGCCTGAGCCTTGCCTTGGTGGCTCAGGTCTTGGAGACCTAGGACACTACATTCGTCTTCTCTTACATAGTATTGCTGCTTGCCTATAACAAGTCCCTCATAGGAGCGGAGGCGAGGTTCAGGTAGCTCCTCCTAAAAGGCATGGCTACAGAGCAATACTGGCCCTTATGCTTTTGTGTAATGGCCATCACAGGGAATCGGGTGGCCAAAGCCTGCAGCAGTGGCTTCTGCACAACCCATGCCAGCACACACTCGGCACCCCGGCAAGGGAGACAAACTGACACCACTGCTCGAAAGGCTAGCAGGCATGGTCCCCTCTGCCAGTGGTGGGTCCAGGAGCAGTGTTCACATGAGACCAGGGTCCCTTACTCCTGAGTTTTCCAGGTGTTTGGAGGGAACACTTCCTACAAGTATCACATCCCATTTGAGGTTCAGCCTGCCTGATAGAGTTGAGGGGAAGACATAAAGCACTTTTTTTTGGAGCCAGAGGGTTTATTTAGAAGCACCTGAGTTTTGAAGCTCATTTCTCTGGACCTTGGAAAGAATAAATGAGGGATTGAAGGGAATGCCCCCTGGCATGTAGTGCCGTTCCACAAACAGCAGCTCTTAGGTTTCTGTCCTTGTTATCAGCAAGTGGCTTGGGAGAGACGGAAGGTGGGGAGCAGCACCAGCTCTGGGGTCCAGCAAGGTGAGTCTTATCCCAGCCCTGCCACTGGCTTGCTGGATGACTCGGGCTCAGTTACCTCAGAGCCCCAAATTTCCCTTTCACAAAGCTGGGTGCCAGCTTTCATAAAGTTCAGGATGCCATGAGGATTCATGGGCCAACAAGTAAAGTCTCTGTCTGTTGGCAAGCGGAGACTGCTGTTTCCAGCGCAATGTCTGCTCGTGGGAGGAGGCGGTGGCTATATTTACCCGACACCCTTTCCTTCCACAGGAAGCCGAGATTGATAGCATTCACCAGTTAGTGGTAGGAGCAACTGAAAACATCAAGGAGGGCAATGAGGACATACGAGAGGTGGGTGCTCTTGGGTCCCCTGGGTGTGATCTGGGCAAGGCTATGCAGGGGCTTTGGGGCCAACCATGGTGAGTGCCAGCAAGCCATGTATTCATGAGCCCCACTGGCTGACTCCAGCTCGTTGTCAAGACAGTGGCTCCCACCCTCCAAAGCAGCAGTCTAAGGTGAGGTGGACCAGGAGTGGCTAGGTGACTTCTTGAATGGAGGGGTGAGCGTCAGGGAGTGGGCAGTGCCTGGTTGCTATTTGGGGATGACCTTCCAGGTGCTTGTTATTGAGTGGACATTGTTTTCTGAGCTGTCCTTAGGGTCAGGTTGTTACAGGGCTGACACTGAGTCACCTACTGACTGGAGAACACGAGCTAGGACTGAGACTGCTGTGCACCTTGAACCCGGAGACAAGTGTGATTCCTGGGTGTCGTGTTTTCTGGGTGAATGGGCTGTACTGCCAGGCCAAAGCAGGATTGGAAAGGACAATCCCCTTGTATTCTGTGGGATTCACCCCACTTTACTTCATAATTAAGCCACCCATCCAAGGTGACCAAGCAGCACCCAGTTCCTGCTGAGCAGGGAACGCATGGGAACGGTAGGGCACTGCAGGGCTCTGATCCCCAGTCCTGAGGTCCTGTGCTCTCGCCCCTCCCAGGCCATTAAGAACAACGCTGGTTTCCGCGTGTGGATCCTCTTCTTCCTGGTGATGTGTTCCTTCTCCCTTCTCTTCCTGGACTGGTACGACAGCTAGCTGCCACAGGGTCTGCGGCCTTGGCCAAGGTATGCAGGACGAGCATCTGGAGGGGCACCTCTGACATACCAAGCGTGTACTCTCAGGTGTCTGGCATCGGAGGAGCTGTGATCAGGTTTTATCACAAAGTCATTTGAGGGACAAGGGGGTTGAGACAGACATGTACATCACAAAAGGGTTACCCAGGCCAGTGGGCCTGTGCCTGTTCAGCAGCTGAAGAGCAGTGCACAACTTGGGAGTGGTATGCCCGCAGCCCTAAGGCACAAGTCAGCATGAGCGAGAGGTCGTGGACTGCACCTCCACTTGAGCTGCCCTGGCAGGGACAGCTCCCCCATGAACTGCAGGCCACACTCCCCGTGTTGTCTCAGGGCTCATCCCAGCAGCTGCAGGACAGAACTTGGCTAAGGATGACTTGACAAAGGATTGGTGCCTCAGTTCCTTGTAGCTTCTGGTTGCCCGAGTCAGCTGACAGTCACAGTGTTGCAGAAGAGTTTCATTTGCCTCGTAAACCTATTAAATACAGTTGTGGCCCTCGCTGTATTGCCAGTAGGAACACTGCAGTCCAGTGGTTGCCCACCTGCCTGGATGGGCAAGCTCCGAGGTACTCCAGGGCTGCCTGCCTGGCTCCAGCTGCCGCCCCCAACACTCTTAATGGCAGGGCAGGAACTGGGGCCCCTAAGTCCTGGTTTCCTGCTTCAGGGTTCAAGTATTATGTGTTTAAAGGAAGAAGYGGGCCACAGAAGAGCAGGGCCTGATACCCCATGCCTGCACACCTGCCTGCAGGAAGAGTCTCCAGGATCACCTGTTTGTAACTGAAAGCCTGCTCCATGTGGACCATGTCTGCATACAGCGTCCAGTATCCTGGCATCCTGTGGGGATGAGCCAGTTCACACCACTCCTCCTCACAAAACACTTGCATGGACAGTCGTTGGGTGGCACAGGTACCCTTGAGTTCTTTATTTGCACCAAGTGAAATGTAGGAAATTATTGTAGTCAATTTACAGTCAATAAAGTACATGTCTACTAGAATACCTGGGGGTGCACCTGTGTGCTTTGCTTACGTGGGCACTTTGCAGGGATGGGGGGAGGGTGCGCAGGACAAGTTTGGCATGTGTTTAGTGCTTGCATGTATTGCTCGCAGCTTGGGCCACTGTGCTGCATTCTGTCCACACCTAGGTCAGGATCTTTGTTTCGAAACACCCTTGATAATAAAACACGCGTTTGTCTTGGAAGCACATCTCAGGGAGAGCAGTGGAGCCGACCGTCCTCATCATGCTTGTTTGCAACAGGTCGCTCACTATTTGCCATTTATTTCTGCTCTTCTAAAAACSAGTGAAACTTGACACACCCACCAGAATCAACACACTCAATAACATGCAAGCAACATCTGTGGATATCTTTTTTTTCTATTTAATTGTCTTACACATGTAGTTTATCTAACTGGCAATTTTGTAAAGATATACTTTAATGTCAAGATTCAAATTGAAACAATTTTCTTACAAAGATTGTGGATTGAAATGTCAGGTTTGCAGGGTGCCACACCAGTGCCCCCAGCTGTTTGCTACATCAAGGAATAATATCTATCCGAGAATAAAGCTTAAAGTAGCCCTGGCTTACCAGCAATTAAATTTTCACTTTTCCTACTCGTAAAAATTAACTTGCATACAGGACCGTACGTGCAAATTGATCATAATAGAAATGAACAAAAGAGCATTTCTTTCCTGTTTAGCATATCACCAGCAGACAGCCCACTCACGGGAAGGCAGTTCTGCAGCCCCCAACCCCAGGACCAGCTCCTCCCACCCCCCTTCTCCTCTGCCCAGCCCATGCACTCTGAAGAGAACCTCACATGTCCACTCAGTGGTCCCTCTTGCCAGAGCCAGAGGGGACCCAGCCGTACTAAGAACCACCTGGTGCAGATCTGCCACCTGGTGCTCTTGTCCTCAGTGGCACCATCAGCTGGGGTATGAGGAAACTGAAGAGCACTTGCTCTTAGCAAGAGATCACTCTAGATATGGCTATGGGGTAAGGTGTGCACACAACAAGGTGGCTTTGAAAATAAACTCCACAAAATGCATTATGTATCTGAAGGCCAACGCCCTTATACATCCAGGTTAAATTTGTTTTTTGACAGCATCCAGTAAATCCCAGTGATGGAGCTAAACTAAGAACCCTTAGCATAAAAAGTGGCGCCAGAGCTCTTTAAGCAACGCTGATATGCTCTTGGTTTTATGCCCATGGGTGGTCGGCAGCAAGTTTTATTTGCAAAGCAGCATTAGCAAACAGAAGCAATTGCACCGTAAATGAGTAACCTCTAAATTATCAGTAATTATATTTAATGAAATGTCCCTCAAAGTCCCTTTGTTATCTTCAAGTGACACATTGGAAGGAACTTGCCCGTCTCGCTAAGCTGACTTCTCAGCTGCTTCAGTCTCCTGTTCTGACAGCTTCTCTTCTGAAAGCACTGACATCCAGGGTGACACGGAGCGGGTGATGCTCTGCTTGGCCAGGTTGTAGTGGTTTATGACTGTGTAAAATTTCTCCCGGGCGCTGGAGTCTTGCTCCGCGTAGTAGCTCTCCAAGCCTTCTGGGATGCACTGGGTATTCTGCAAGACAAGAGGCCACTAAGACCAGGCGTGGGTGCAAGAGAGGTGCCAGTATCCCCCAGTCGATGCCCCACAGTTGTGACGGCACCTTCCCTGAACCTGGAGGGATAAGTACCAGGATGGGCCACAACAGACACAAGTCCTACCCTGGGAGCACGACCACACAGAAGCCTGACATTAACTGGGAGGTGCCACATCAGACTGGCACTTGAGTTTCTGTCACAGGCTTTACTTCTCCAGATATCTCACACTGTGTGCTTTGCTTACGTGGGCACTTTGCAGGGGTGGGGGGAGGGTGCGCAGGACACCTACTAGAAAACAGTGACCCTTCTGACATGTCCAGAAGTAACCAATCCAAGTAAGGGAGGGAGGGAAGTGAGAAAGGTTTCCCTGGGCACTGGGCTAAGTCCTCAGGAGGACTTGCTCAGGTGATGGGCAGGCAAGTACTTGAGGCAGAGAACAGAGCACACGTAGAAGAGGCCCTGGGGCGGGAGACTGCAGGAAGACCAGGCCAGCAGAGAGAGTGAGCAGGGGCCTGCAGAAGGGCCAGGGCCAGCCTCTCAGCTGTCAAGGTCCCAGTAGGAGATGTGGGTGGGCCTTGTGACCCCAAGGGAAGCAGGAATGCATGGAGCAGTTTCAGAGGGGTGGAGGCTGGAAGCTGCCCCCTATAAGTCACAAAACTGGAACATCCAAGACTGGGTTTCAGAATGGCTGAAAACCCCTATGGTGCTGTGTGGCATTTGGGAAGAAGACAGTGTATAGCAGTCATCAAACTGTCAGGAGTGTAGAGCCCTGAAGGCTTCAGATCCTGCACATGAGTTGGCTGCTACTCGGGACAGAAGCCAACTAACCACTGCCCCAGTCACAACTGATGCTGGATGACTTGGCCGGGAGGGGTTGCAGTAAGCATGTGCACACAGCACAGATCCCTGGGGAAGGTGCACTGACGTTGCTAATTGTCTTCCACCACACATTCTCCCCAAAGCTGACCGGGGCAGGGGGCATCCCGACCAACAACTACATTTCCCCGCCTGCCATGTAGCCAGGTAAGGCTCTGAGGCTAACTTCAGGCCAGTGGGATTTGAATGGATGTGACAGGTGCAAGTTCTGGGCTGGGTGGGCCCTAAAGGGAAGCTGCATGCCCTCCATTTTTCATGTATCTCCTGCCACCCCAAGGACAAAACCCAGGGGGCCAAGGACAGCAAGAGGTAGGGAAGTCCGATGACTACAAATCCATCACTGCTTTCCAGCCTGGACTTTGGGTGAGAGTAACAAATCTAACAACTCTTATAAACCAAAGCATGGATGTCTCTATCACACAGGAAAGTAAGACCAACAGTGGAGCCTTGGGCCTTGTGGTACGCTCCACCCAAAGGTTAGCCCTGGGTTTTGGGGGTTTTTTGGTCCAGAACTGACCACCGGCAATCCTTTCAATTCAGCCAACGCTCTCAGGCCACGGGAACGTCCCCCTGACCACCTGCACTCACTGCCAGGAGGCTTTGCTCCCCTGTGCTGCTGGCTCACCCTGTGTCCTCAAGGGGGAAGATGGGGTGCTCGTTTAGACAAGAATGTGAGCTGGGACCTGCCCTGGAAGTCAGCTGCAAGGGAACCACTGCCAGAGCCGTAGTCTCCGCAATGAGCTTTCCCCAGCCAGGGCCTCCTGCTGTAACGTCACCTTCCAGGTGTGGGTTCATTTGACATGGCTCGGCTGTGCTTGCTGTCACAGGGCTGAGCACGGAACATGTTGAGGGATGGATACATGGTGGTCATGAAAAGCGCTCACCTGAGCAGACCTGGAGGCCCAGTGAGTCTGAACAGGTGGGCTCCCGCTCTCGMGTGCCTAGGGTGTACAGCAGGGAGAGCGCAGCAGGTGGGCACCATCAGGCCCCGATGCAGGCTCGGCTGGCTGTGCTGGGCATCGAGAACACCAGGAGGACAGAACACCCAGCCAGGAGGCACTGCTGACCCCAGCCCTGCTGGTCCCCTTGCCTGGCTGGGGCCTTCACTCAGAAAGTCTGAGCTCAGGCCACTTCAGAAGTGGCAGCTGTGTTGTCCTTTGCAGAGGCTGGGTGCTACCTGCTTTGCCAGCTCACGGACGGGCAGGCAGAGCTCAAGGGCCACCACAGGATCTGGGGAGGTGGTGGTGGCAAGGGTGGGACGGCAGTGAATCTCAGCAGCATGCCCTCATGCCCGCGGCTCCAGGGGTGCTGCAGTGTGCCCCGTTTGGGCTGCTGTAGCTACTGCCTCTCCTCAGATGGACAGACTCCACTGCCACCAGTTAGGTGACAATGTAAAGATCAGATGCYACCCTGCTCCTTGGAGAACAGGGACTCTACCAGCTCACTGGACACTGAAGAATAAAGATCAGAAATCCCAGCAAGTCCCCTATATAGGTGAAGAGCTAGTTTCAGAAGAGAAATGACAAGGAAATGGAATGTGCAAAGAGGCCCAGCCGCCCTGCAGCCACCTGAAGAGCAACCCGGGCCAGGAGGGCTGGTGTGCACCCAGGTGACCTGGACGGGGCCTCTCCCGTCTTTCCTGTAGCCAACCTTCTCTCCACCAGTCCCAGTGCAAGACACAGGAGGGAAATGTCACACTGAGCACTTCCTACTGGTCCAGCTATGCCCTCTGGCCACCTCCAACTCTCCAGGCTTTCACCATCGTGAGTATGGAGCACAAGGCCTTGGCTGCTCTAGGGCCTGTTCCTGGCAAGAGGAGTCCCAAGGTCATCGGAAGTAGAGGCACACTGGTATCCCGCAGCCTCTGGGGGGAAGTGGAGCCTTACCTTGAGGACGAAGCCATCAGGGCAGGCGCGGTCGTACTTGTACACCTTGTAGACGACCAGGAAGACGACGCAGGTGAGGAARGCCAGAGCGAAGAGGACCAGCACGGAGACCTGCGGGTGGGCGGGCAGAGGCGGGAGGTCAGGTTAGCTGGGAAGATGGTGACAGAGTGCCCAGGGATACTCGGGGGAGGAACCTGAGGAAGTGCAGCTGGGGGTGGGGTCCAAGAATCAGGTTTCCCTGGATGACATTTTGTTCAATTTTTCACAATATCCCTGTGTCACATTTAGTTTTTTTTTTTCTTTATTGTATTTAATTTTATGTGGATCAAACTCAGGGCCTCACACATGCTAGGAGAGCGCTCTACTGCTGAGCCACAACCCAGCCCCACCTTTAGGTTTAGTTAGCTGTTTTTAGTATCTGAGCCTCTGCACTGAGAACTATGGTTATAGATATGACAAAGCCTTCAAATCACTCAAATGGCTCAGAGGCAAGTAAGACCCATGACCAAGAAGTGGGCCAGGACGCTGTGCCCACTGCCCCCAGCGGTCACACGCTGGGGCATCTGCCACTGGCAAAGCATCTGCTCCACAGATATTGCCTGAGCTCTGAGCTCAGTGCTGGGGCAATGTCACTTGGACACCAAGCTGTCCTTGTACTGGGACCAGCTAAGCAGGAAAGTCAAAACCTCCATGGCCCGTCACCTCTGGCCTCTAGTCTCCTGCGGTTCAGTGTCCATGAGGACAGGGATTTGGCTTTCTCACTGCTGCTGCTGCTGAATCCTAGACTGGCTTGGCCTGACACACAGTAGGTGCTCATCTAGCGTTTACCAACAAACACGATAGTGGGCAGACGGGGGACACAGAGGTGGGACACCTGCCCCAGCTGGAGGGCGTGGGGCAAGATATCCCAAGATGGGATTGCATCTGGAGCTGAAAGGTGCTCACATGGGTGCCAGCGAGCCTAGCAACTTGAGGGCATGATGTRGCCTTTCCCCAGCCTGGGTAAGCAAAGGGGCAGCTGTCTCCCAGGTTCCTTGGACAGGCAGGAAGGAAGCCAAGGTATGGGCCCAGGGAGCCAACGTGCAGTCAGGGCGCTGGAAACACTGGTCTAATGTGCACAGAGCACGGGCTTCCCACCTCCAGTGTTGGTGGCCAGGAGCTGCCACATTGCTGGCACTCCTCCTGCTGGCCACACACAGAGCCCCACAGCCCCCAGGTCCAGGGAACTGAGGGACCCTGCTTATCCTGAGGCTGCAGAAGGGACCCAAGTGCAACCCCAGCTCCTCTGGGTAGACCCTCAGCAGAGCACCCTGCCAGCTCAGGAGGTGGCCTTGGGTCCACTTGATACTGTGGCGTCCTGGGGTCACAGGAGAAGAGATGTGTGGAAAGGAGCGTTATAAACCAGCAGCACGTTCACCTGCCCGGCCATGAACTCAAGTCCCTGTGGTAACACCTGTGCTCCCTTCAAGCYGCCTCACACCCACCAGGGCACGTATCCTGCGCTGCTCCAGAAACCCTGGGGTTCTCTGAGCCAGTCTCCTCACCTGTGACATGGACACAAGTTCCCCCACCTTCCAGTCACTTGAGGCTACCAACGCCCATGACGAGCTGAAATGGTTACTGTGGGACCCCTGCCTCCACTTCYCGGGGCTCCTAATCTCCAGAGTTCGGACCGTCTGGGGCCTGCATCTGGCTGCAGGCATCTCTGGCTGGGGCCCTGGCTTCTGCAGAGCTGGCCCTACACAGGAGCCCACAGCGGACGGGCTTCCTGTCCATGCMGGTGCTGGATTCAGCCACCCCCATGCACCTCACCACTCCCCAGGGCCGAATAGGTAGCACCGAGACTCCTGGGACCCCAGGCTTCTCCCTACACAGCCACCTGTCACACCCATGACTGCCAAATCCCACTCCGACTCCCATCACTCTCCCAGGTCACACCCACTGCAACATGAATAAGATATGTCCCCTCTGTGTCCTCCCACCTAGGAATTAGCCCCTCAGACCCCCGGGAAGCAGGAAAGCTCCACTCTAAGGAGGCCCTTCCTTCTCTAGTCCTGCCGATTCCCGGTCTTTCTCCCACTAAACCCACCTCTGTGACCCCTCCCTGGGCCTGTCACGTTCCCCGAGGGCCCAGAGACTCCAGTCAGTCTGGCCAAGGTACACTGCATATGGAGCCCATGCCTGGCMCAGGGACACAGACAGAATGCAGCCAGGCTGCTTTCAAGGCCCACAATACCCGTGGGGATGGCACTAGCCGGGGTCTGACGATGGCTGCAGGCCACAGACAAGCATGTGACAGGCCAGGGGGCTGGGAGCAGAGCCTGGTGAGGAATGGTCAGAGTGTGCTGGAGGAGGAAGGACCACTGCCTAGAGCACTCGGCGGGCCGGTGAATGACAGCCCCCTGCTGGCCATGCTGGGGCTTGTGGAGCACACCCTGCAGCTCCAGCTCCCGGCTGCTGCCTGGGCCCCTGTCCTACCTGGAAACGGATGGTTTCCCACGACAGTAGGAAGGTGAAGGAGTGGACACTGTACAGGACACTGAGGATAGTGTCGGACAGGCTGGACAATAAGGAAGTGTGTTCTTACTGATGTTCCTGTCACCACTGTCATTCCCTGAAGTCACGCAGATGGCAGAGTGGGCTCTCCACCCAGGCGGCCCTCCACACCCCAAGTGCTGCCTCACCTGAGTCCACCCTGCCAGGGATGGATCACCTGCCCCCTCCACAGTCCCCACCAGCAGAGCTGTGTCACTCAAGGTGGGCTATGGGAGAACTGGTTTTCCATACAACTGGCCTCTTTCTGGCCTTTCATGTTCTATTTTATCTTGTGCAACTGAAAGTAGGTGGAGAGAAGAGGCCGTGCCCACCCTGGCCGCTGCCAGCCTGCCCCCTTGATCTGGAAGCCACATGGAGTCAGCTTCACAGTCTGTTTAGGTTTTAAAATGACCTCAGCCCCCTGAAGGGCTGTGTGGACGGCTTCCGCCCACTTACAGAGCAAGAAACATGACACAGCCTGGGGGAGAGGACAGAGGGCATGGAAAACAAGCTGCTCCAGCCAGCTCTGCAGATCCTGAGGCAGGGAGGCCCTCCCTTCCCCTGGGGTCTATAAATTCACCAGTGGCAGGGGACCCCTGTGGTTATCACGGCCTAAGAAAGGGGAGTGAGTCAGGGGCCTTTCCAGAATCACACTCAACCACTCCAAGCTAAATCTGGCTCTGCAAGCTGCTGACCATGACTCTAGCAGGGGCCTGRCCTCTCAGGCCACAGCGCATCTGTGGAACGAAGGGGAAACACCTGTAGGCGTTTATCAGAGGATGACAAGGGCTGGCAGGCTTTGAGAGCACCYGGACCCCTCTTACGGGCTGAAATGTGTTCCCCAAAAAGAGTTACAGTCTACCCCAAGTACCTGCAAACGTGACTTTATTTGCAAATGGGGCCTCTGCAGATGCAGTCTAGTTAAGACAAGGCCATTAAGGGCACAAATCCAATCTGACTGGCGTCCTTCCACTACAGGGAATGTGGACACAGAGACAACACACCCAGGGAAGCCACTGTGAAGACCAAGGACCGAAGGGATGCACCCACATGCCAAGCAACGGCCAGCACCCCCAGAAGCTAGGGGAGGCAAGAAGGGTCCTCCCTGCAGGGTTCAGGAGGAGCAATGCCCCCAACACCTTGATTCCAGACTGCCAGCCTCAAGGACGACCATGAGAGAATGCAATTCCATTGTTCCAAGCACCCCCACTTTGTGGAGCCTTGTAGTGGCATCCACAGGACTGAGAGCTACTTTAGGGGGTACAGAACTGGCTCACCTCCCTGAAGATGACTCCTGTCGCTGACACCCTGACCTGTCCCTGCATACCAGGCTGTGCTGCCTTCTCCTTCCTCATCCTTTAAAGCCCTAACTAGGTCAGCAGCCTCCAGAAGGCTCTGGAACGTGCCATCCTCTCGGTGGTCACCAATTACACATGCAGGCACCAAGCACCCAAGCATCCATTTTTTTTCCTGATTCAACAAAAATAAATTGTGTCCTGTTTGGAGACATTTGTGAACCTCCCTCCCCTCTCCCATGAGAATGAGGGATATTCTGGAACCCAGGGCAAAATGACTGAGCCTGACATCCAGGATTCCCCAGGCCTGGAGCTCGGAGGCTGTCTCCACGTGACACACCATGACCGTGAGTCTGCGAGCCCCAGCTCAGCCAACCAACTTCAGAAGACTTCCCCGCTGAGAACAAGAGCAGGGCKGCCCTGGGCTGGAGGCCCACTCAGCCACACCGTGACATGGGGAGGCCACTGTCCCAACCCCAGGCTCCCCATCCCATGAAGGGGGCGCTGGCCTAGCGCCTGCGTGCATGGTGGGACAAGCAGGAGACCTGTCAGGCACACAGTGGGGCACAGCAGGCCCTGCTCCCACACAGTGCTGCAGCCTCAGAAAGGGCAGGTGGAGGCCATAATCCAACACTTCCCCCTGTTGCAGGCCCCGTCACTGAAAAGGAGGCACCTTCACACCAGCCAGCAGGACATCCAGGCGGGCCCCAGGCCATGCAAAGGAGAAATGGCTGGCACAAAACGGGGCTCAACTGACTATCATGGGAAAGCCCGAACCCCTAGGGGCCTGGAAATGCTGGGAATGCACTCACTGCAACAGTGTTGGGAGGTGGGGCCTAGAGAGGCCCAGGGCTCCCATCTGAGGGCGCTCACCCCTGCAGGAGTGGTTCACCAGGAAGGGCATGCTCCTCCCCTTTCCCTTGCTCTCTCTGGCCTCTGCCTCCCTTGTGGGATGACACAGCAAGCAGGCCTTGGACAGAGACAGCCCCCTGTTCCAGGAGCAGGAGCCAATAAACCTCCTTTCCTTCTGAGTTCCTTTATGAGTGTCCCAGTCTCAAAGATCCTGTTTAGCAGCAGGAGACGGACAGAGACACCTGGAACCTGCCAATGTGATCAGGCTGGATCTCACAATGGGGACACTCCCGATTACCCAGGTGAGTTCTCCATGCTATGTCCTCGCAGAGGGAGATGATCCTACAAAGGGGCAGGGATGCAAGGACAGAAGCTAGAAGATGCGGCACTGCAGATCTGAAGGTGGAGAAAAGCACCACAAGCCAAGGA